CCTCATAATTTTCACAAAGTTTTCAAAACAGCTTTATTTTCCGACTTTGCACCAGAGTAAAATATATTTAAGAGCCACAAACCACTTTGAAAAAACAAATGGAATAACAAAAAATAACACCCATACCATGGAGGTAGATGCCTGGACCCACAAAGGAAGATGTGCATGACTTTAGGTTTTGCCTAAACAATTTTTGCCATTGCTTTGCCATTTGTTGCTTTGCAGAATCTTATCGGCAGAAATGCTGCCATGTACACAGTCTACATTGCACAAAGTACATGAAGTATCGCACGCTTGCACAGGTCCACGTTGTGTTTGGTGTACTGTAGCTTGGCCTACGGGCAAACATAGTTAAAAAAAAATACACGGTAGGACTGTGTCCTAATTTGTACCTTTGTGTGGCTTCAAAGTTTCATTCACTAATCTAGCACTAAAGTTTACCCAAACATCATGTCCAATGTATGCAAAAGCTATTTAAAATATTACATTCAATATTACAATCGCGAAACAAAATCAATCATGTCAGTCAGTATTAATTGTATTGTCAGTATTGATTAACTTCGTTCAATTATCAGTCAACGTGCAACTTTGGAAGAGAATAATATAATTGGAATAATTCAGATGCGGAAACCACATCTAAACCACATCTAAAAGAAAGAAATCAGCTCATACCTGGATAGGACAAAGACAGAAGAGGACCATATTGAGGATGTCCGATTTACCCTACTTTGCAAGTATATTAAAGTAATCAGGCAAACTCACTGGCGCTCCCTGCTTTTTTTGGCCTATTCCACTTTTTATGGGAGGATTATGTTTTCTATAGCAATTTCTCTCTAGAGGGGTACAAAGGGTTGCAGGCCAGTAAATAAAATGTCATAGAGACAACAGTGATAAATACCCGAACTTCAAAAAATCAGGAAAAATATATTCAAGAGTTTCTCAGGCGTTTGAGACGCGCGTCAAATTAAAGCCCAGTTGACGATTTTTTATTTTCTTTCAAATTTCCATTCATTAATCTATGACTTCTGAAGATATTTATTTCCACGGAAGGTCACCCCTATGATGCAGTCTTGAAGCCCCTCGCCATTTTGAAATATCGGTGCCTACATTTCTCGAAAAATAGTTTTCATGCACCGATTTCTTCCAAATCTCACTGGGACGCAAGCTGGTATTCTCTTTGCCCGCCTAAACCTGTCTTTTCAGAAACTGAGTGCATACAAATTCTGATTTGGCCCGCGCAAGCACTTTTCTGGCCTGTTGACTGGCCTGCATCCTTTAGTAAACCCCAGTTTCTACAATTTCCCCGAAAACGCGTAAAACAGGGCGAAAAGAGGTTCTAAAATCGGTTTGAGGCGAACAATTGGAAAAGGTTATCTCTCATCCAGGTTATGGGCCTGTTACCTTGAGTAGGGCTGATAGTGCGTATACCTGTGTAGTTTGGCCATTATATGCTTACGTCTGTGTATTTCCAACTTTATCAGTTGCTGGAAATAATCGCTTGTGACTGCAAACTAGGGTTAATTTCTGTGGTTAGGGTTAGGTTTGACCAACTATAGGTTCGAAATTCGCACACTGGGTTTGCCCTTGACGGGGCGGGGGGGGGGAAACAGTACAGTACTCATGTTTTGAAACTCAGACTCTATATGCTGGACCAATCAGATCTTTGAGTTTAAAATTTGGGCAAGCAGCCCATCACTCTATCTTGTAATACCACATTACATCCACCAGTCAAAATATCTGAATTGACCAAATGTTTTCAGGAAAGCCAGTGGTTGTCTCCCCCTCCATCAGGCTTGAACATGGAGATGAGATTTGCTCGACTTACCACATGACGCTAACTGAAAAAAGGAATTTCATCAAATTATAAGTTTTTAGAATAAAATTAAAGATTCCTCGTTGAAAACATTACATGTGCATGAGAAAAGATAATTCTGAGCGGTTTCTCACCTTGGGTGAATTCCAGTACAATCAAAAACAAAAACACACAAAAAAGCTGTCCGTTATATGTACGTGAATACTTTATTCCGCCCGACTGTGTCATCCCTGGATCTGTTACTTCTGAACCATGAACAATCTTACTGCTTTAATATTGAGATCACTTAGAAGTAATGAAACCCGAACACGGTTGGGATCCCTTGTACCGTCGAAAATGTAGGAAATTAAGATTATAAATGAAGTAAATCAGCATCAATCCTTTAGCTCACTCTATTCAAACCTAGAAAATTGCCTTGTGGGTTTTGCGCCGAGGGAAATAAAAAAAATGTGGTGAGGGAAAAATGCAAAAGTTATGCGGTGTTGACCAAGCATTCAGGCGCACGGACTCCTGAAATTCGCTACAAATCACAGTTACCGGCTTCCAT